TATCTATCTATCTATCTATCTATCTATCTATCTATCTATCTATCTATTTAGGGTGGCACAGTGGCTCAGTTGGTAGAGCTGTTGCCTCTCAGCAAGAGGGTCACTGGTTCAAATCCCAGCCGAGGGCCTGTCTGGGTGGAGTTTACATGTTCTCTCTGTGCATGTGTGGGTTTTCTCCAGGTACTCCAGTTTCCTCCCACAGACCAAAAACATGCATGTTAGGCTGATTGTTAACTCTAAATTGTCTCTAGGTGTGAGCGAGAGAGTGAATGGTTGTTTGTCTTGTTTGTCTCTATGTGTCCCTGTGATGGACTGAAGACGTGTCCAGAGTGTCCCCCACCTCTTGCACAATGATAGCTGAACATGGGCACCAATGACCCCTGCAACCCAAAAAGGAAGAAGGGGGTAAAGATAATGGATGGATAAAATAAGATAGAACTTTACTGATCTCACAGGAGATTAGCTGATGGATTTATTTATTTACTTAGCATCAATAAGTGATAACTGTGTAGGCTTTTGAGAGGGAAAAAATAATTTAATCCATCTTAGAATGAGGCTGTGACATAATAAAATGTGAAAAAGGCAAAGCACTGTGAAAACTTTCCATATGGTGCTGAGGCTGCGAGTGTTTTAGTCTGCCAGTTCACAAAAGTTTTAGTCTGGCTAGACCAGGGGTCTACAACCTTTACGATCAAAGGAGCCAGTTTATGCCTTCGTTCACGACATTAAACGTGTGTGGAACCACAACAACCTGCTACTGCTACAACTACAACGGCCCGTGAGCAACTTTAGGGTTTGCTGGAGGGGGCTTTTGTGGCCACTAGGGGGTTACATTATAAAACAAAAAATATCTAATGATTTTTAACATTTATTAAAGTAAAATACCAGATTCTTGTAAAGAAGGAGGGGAAAAATCTGTTTTTACCATTTTAAAAATAAAAAAAATCCATAAACTATACAGACAGTTCTTCATATAAAGAAATAAAGCATCAAGTTAAAGTATGTTTTACTCCTTCACTCCAGTATTCACACATTTGCAAAAGAAACAACAGGAAATCTGTTTGAACTAGTCCTTTCTTGTTGTTTGTATAACCAATAAAATTCAGTTTTATGTCAGTTTTGGTCAAAGCTTGAAAGAACTGCTGCAGAGGGACCAAAGAGCCGCAGGTTGCAGACCCCTGGGCTAGACCTTCTGATCCTGCTGACTGATACATCCACCATCTCAGCACCCTCAGCAGATAACTGTCTTTGCTCAGCACACATACATTCATGTAGACACACATTTGAGTTTCACGGTCCAGAAACTAAGCAAACATCAAGCTAAAGCCTAGTGTTGTGTATTGTTGTGTTGTTTTACAGCAGTGTGTCATTTTTATACACATCCATGTTTGGTTAGCCATTAGCCTAGACAAATACTTTTGCTTTTTTCTCTACAGTACACCATGCTCTGGGACTGATGCCATGGCTGATAAGGTACTAATTACCAATGACTATTTGAAATAACATGATTTTAAAACGTACTATGTTTTAAATTCATACATTATAACTTTTTATAGAATTTATATTACAGCCTGGGGTAAAAGTCCCTTCATAATGAAGCCCAGTTCCTGTAAAGATACTTGGTAAGTAGCAGGCATGAATCTTGTCTGCTCTGTTGCAGTTTTATCCATGTATTTATTTTTGCGTGGGTTCAAAGATGGTGAACATAAGAGTCAAAACAAATGCATAAATAAATGGACTGTACTTATACAGCACATTTCTATCTAGTGAAAATACTCAAAGCCTTTACAACACAACCTGTGCCCTCATTCACCCATTCACACAGCACTCTACTAGATCTCTACAAAGTTAATCTGAATCTGTAGAGACCAATCAGTGTTTTAGATCACATTCATGCACTGATGAGAACATCAGAGGCAATGTGGGTTCAGTGTCTTACCCAGGGATACTTCAACATGTGACTGCTGGTGGAATTGAACCCTCAACTCTCCCATTGGAGGACGAGTGTTTAATCACTCAGCCACAGCTGCCCCAATAACTAACTGGTATTTCATCATGTGCTGCCCAAGGTGAGATGTTTTTGTCTCTGTGTCTATTCGTTAGTTGTGTTTGAAAATATCGAAAGTCACTTTTAGACAAATTTAAATGAAACACCCAGAAAGTAATGACTGGATCTCCATCGACAACAAGAGCATATTGGAGTCAATCGCATTCAAGACTGCCGCCTTATCTAATGAACCTCACAAAGAATAAAACGAATGTAACTGAGTACATTTTATTGAGCTAAAATTAACTGTAGTAGCAGCTAAGAGTTGTCTCCAACACGCTCCAAACATGAGCAGATCTCACAAAATCTGCTTATAGGACTTTGTCATAGCTTATGATCCATGAATGGATTTTAATGCCATGCTCAGAAAACATGCACCAGATGTACAAGGAGTCATCCTAATTTAATACGGCCTCCACAGCTAATCAATGTTATCTTGAATGAATGCATTTCACCTGCTGCCTATCATGTCAGAGTTTTACACTGTTTTTGAACGTTTAAGCCATTTTGGTCAAACCTTAAAAATAAAGTTGTGCACAGTTGCATACAATATTGCAACATGCCACTCTCAGAGTATGTTTTGTGAATGACTCTCAGCTACTACCACATCAATTTTATTACAATATCTGTAAAATAAACGTGAGCTGTGGCAGCGTGGTGGTCAGTGATGCACCATGAGGCTTCAGGTTTGAGCTCAGGTTGCATCAAGAAAGACATCCAGCATGAAATTATTACCAACAATAACGTACGTAAAATTGACCGAGTTTTAGCACTTCTGTGTTTTCCAAATCCCTAACTAGGAAAATCACTGTATGCCACTTTAATTGGTTAAATGTCACTTTATCTGTGCTGCTGATTTCTTGCCTTTAAGCTGCTATATTTCTACCCATCTGCTCACAACAGACTCATGTTCAGGTTTAATACATCGTATTACGGTATATTACATTATTATTGTTTAGTGTATATCTTAGATCCTTGTATGCTGTTTCTTTTTTAAAATACTTTATAGTTTTACTATTTTTTGGGCGTAACTGGGAACTTGAATACACAATTTAATTTAATTCCACCTCATGTACCACATGTGATGCAAATGACAACAAAGAACCTTGACCTAACTGGTTCTCTGTGCTCATGCAAAAAAAAAAAACATTTTTTAATCACACAACTATGTCAATGATAACAGACTTCCTAATGTCTCACTGAGTATAAATGGGCCTTTTGACTGTGTTTCTTCTTCTCACCAGTCTTTGTTGTTCTGTGCTGCACCACACCGCCCTCTAGTGACACAAACTAAACACAGCAACAGAACAGAAGATCAACGCATTCTGTGTAAACCTGGCAGCACAACATAGATGCACGTCGTTTAGATGCTTCCGGGAAGTTTCATCAACATCCAGCCAGTGAATAATGACACATTTTGCTAACAGACAGAGCAAGACTTCAAATAAGTACAGTAATAAAGGTTAAATAAAGGTTAATTAATGAATGAATGAATTATTAATAATACAGTAAATATAACACTCAGTATAAGTGTTGCTGGTCACTGCATATTTTAGCTCTCTTGGTTGTGGTGCATCTTGAATCAAACTGCAGAAGAGATATTTCACTAACAGGCAGACACAAAACCCAAGGGCAAAAACATGATCGTCCGCCTTAGTGTTTCACAGTAGCCCCCCCTCCTGGTCAGAGAGGCTGTGTGTAACAGGTGTTCACTTGCCTGAGCCACCACATGTAGCCGTACTCGTGCGGGAAGAAGCTGTTCGGGTCATCGCAGCAGTACTTCAGGTCGCTGAAGCCGCAGCAGAACCGCGCCCCGCCGTCCCCGCCCGGCTTCGGGCACGTGAAGCCGCCCACCAGCACCTTGTCTCGCGTGTAGTAACTCCCGCAGTCCGAGCTCATGGCGGGACAGAACCTGCTCTCATTCCGTCCAGAACCAGCAGTTGGAGTCAGAGAGAGGGAGGGAGAGAGAGACAGGAACGTCCTCCCTCACTCCCTCCGGCTCCTGCGTCCATACATGATCGCCCGCCCCGTGCAGTTTGCTGCTGTCTGTTAGCAGCATATCTCCCGAACCACTGGATCGATTTGAACGAATCTCTCAGAAAAGATTTATAGCATGGACATCTACAACTGATTAACTTGTAGAGTCAATCCCATGCAAGATGTTTGCCACAGCTAAGCAATCTTAGAAAGTAATCAAATGGCTATAACTCAGCAAATTCTACAGATACAGAGGTGAAACTGGGTGTGGTAGTAGCTGAGACTCTCCCTCAAAGAAGCGTATATCTTGCACATCTCCTGCATATGACTTTATTTACAAGGTTTGACCAAAAACATCTCTTCTATGAAAGGTGTGGGGCAATATGCTTTAATTTAAAACATAATTGATCTTTATGCATTGAATGGGATGAACTAATTTCATCGTTACATAACTGATTAAATATTTAAATATAACAATAATTTTGTTTTGTTTTGCCCAACAAAGAACATACTCACGAGAACTAGAAGAATTGTTCTTGTTTTTACAAATATTTAAATATAAGATGCACATTAGCATAAATAATTAAAACTTTACACATCCCATTAGCTCAGGGAGGTGGAGGGTTAGAATAGACAGTTCTGTAAAATATTTTAACATTAATTATCCAAACGTAAAGAATCCATCGTAAGTGTTAAAACAGCATCTCGCTGTGCAGAAAACGTGATTGTGTGAGATGTAGAATAAAATGTGCCAGAAGTGCACCTTGAAGATGTGTGAGGGATTTGAATAGTAAATGTTTTTAGTTTTCAGGATGAGTGTTTTTCTGGACTAGATTTGAACAGAGAAAAAAGTAAACATAATGTTTGTGGTGCAAGATATTCAAGTGGGGACGGGTTACACTGTGAAAAGACCAGAGGAAGTTTTATTTTTATTATTTTGATTGTTTGTTTTTGCAGAGCAGAGTGATGAATCCTGGCGAGTGGAGAGAGACATTTTATCCATCATCAGGTGCAGTGGAGGAGCCAGGGTGTGAACAATGGTGGCCTTGACTATCAAACATTAATCTTTGTCCACTCCAGTCATTTGATGCATCGTTTCCTCAAATGATGGGGTGGCCTCTTTACATATATACTGTACACATATGTTAGTGGCATAAGGAAAAAATGGGGTTGCCACCATTTTTTTAAGCGAACCCATTGAATAAATGAGAAAAAAACATTATGCTCGATCATTTATTTATTGAGGAAAATGATCCAATATTACATATTTGTGAGTGTCAAAAGTATGTGAACTTTTTCTTTCAGTGTCTGGTGTGACCCCCCCTGTGCAGAAATAACTGCAACTAAACGTTTCCAATAACTTGATCAGTCCTGCTCACCAGCTTGGAGGAATTTTATCCCATTCTTCTGTACAGAACAGCTTCAACTCTGGGATTTTGGTGGTTTCCTCATATTAACTGCTCTCTTCAGGTTCTTCTACAACATCTGGATTGGATTAAGGTCAGGACTTTGACTTGGGCCATTCCAAAACATGAACTTTATTCTTCTTAAACCATTCTTTGGTAGAATGACTTGTGTGCTGAGGGTCATTGTCACTGCATGGCCCACCTTCTCTTGAGATTCAGTTCATGGACAGATGTTCTGACATTTTCCTTCAGAATTTTCTGAAATAATTCAGAATTCATTGTTCCATCAGTGATGGCAAGCGGTCCTGGCCCAGATGCAGCAAAGCAGGTTCAAACCATGATACTACCGCTGCCACGTTTCACAGATGGTATAAGGTTCTTATACAGGAATGTACACTTCAACCAACATGTTGTGAAGAGCAGACTTTGATAGATCCATGTTCTTTAAATCAAACAGGTTGTCCACTCACACCTGATCATCATCCCAATGATTGAAAACATCTAACTCTTAATTTCACCTTCAAATGAAATGCTAATTCTAGAGGCTCACATACTTTTACCTCTTACAAATATGTAATATTGGATCATTTTCTTCAATAAATAAATGACCAAGTATAATATTTTTGTCTCATTTATTTAACTGCATTCTCTTGATCTACTGTTAGGACTTGTGTGAAAATCTGATGATGTTTTAGGTTAAATTTATGCAGAAATATATAACATTTTAAAGTGTTCACAAACTTTCAAGCACCGCTGTAAATATGTTAACCTTGTTAACTGGACAACTTGAAAAGTAAACAACGTGTCAGCGTCCATTTTTGTGTGTGGTGGCATCTACAAGGAAGTGAGGTCACTAGAAAACTGGATTGCCACGTGAAAATCCAAGATGGCTGACACTCTATAAGTATGTAAACCTTCCACCTCAATCATTATGCTTTCTAGATTTTAACTTGCTTAAAAATATAGTTTTCCCAAATGACTGAGGTGACTGCAGATGAATCTACAGTCCACCCCCATCCGTCCCCTCAGCTCCACCATTGTACCTGCGTCTGCTCCCTCCACTCTCCAGGATCCATCACTCTGCTCTGCCTCACACAAGAAAATAAAAACACAAACGCACAAAAAAAGTCATCTGAAAAGCTACAAACATCCACTACTCAACAGCCTCAGGGATGGCAGACATCATGCTCCTTGTTATATGAGCTTTTTAAGAAACAGGAAACTATATTTGAATGTGGGAGAGAATCATTCAGTTTATGACATTCTTCTGCAGTTTATTATGGGTCCAAAACATCTTTCTTTCATAGAAATGATGCTTGCAAGGCATTTTACATATAAACTAACTCAAAACATTAAGCAAAGAAAACACTGATGTGTTCATAGGCCATATACAGACGGTGTGGTTTGGACAGAAAAAGACTCAAAGGTGGATTTCGTCCTCAGTTTAATGGAAATCAGTCTTTGAGAAGGGAGAGAAATATTGTTGTAATTCAGTGTTAAGATAATGAATTCTAATTGTATTATCACTTTCATCTTAAACATCTTTTTATATCTTAATGCAGTCCTCAAATATCTTAAAAAACTTGAAAGATTAAGTCATGCATTCTTCAAAGCGGTTGTATTAACGTTTGTTTTTGTGTGTTTGATTCTTCTGAGAGGTTTGTTCGATTGTCCAGGTTGCCTAAATGAGACTCAGACATGTAGGCTGCACGAGAACTCGATGCAGAAAAAATAATGTGACAGCAACAACAAAACTTGATGGGTCGCAGTGCAACAAGATACAAAAGAGAAGTGACCACGAGGAGAGCAGGCGGGTCAACAAACAGCCGGAGGAGCAGAGAAGAGAGAGGAGAGCTGAGTAGAAGGAGGCAGGGAGGAGCGAGACAGATGAGACTAAAGAACACGAGGAGCAGGTGTGAACAGTTAACGGAAGGTGGGGGTTGAATGAAAGAATGGTTGAAGGAGACACGGAGGAACAAGCAGTGGTGGAGAAAGTACTCAAACACTGTAGTAAGTAAAAGTACAAATAAACAGATAAAAATGAACTCTAGTAAAAGTAGAAGTACCATATTAACATTTTTACTTAAGTAAAAGTAAATAAGTACTTGCTTTTATAATACTTAAAGTATTAAAAGTAAAAGTACTTCCTGAATGTATTACATAATGCAATGGTCTACATATCTTTAAGTCTGCGTACCATATGTATATTTTCTGTAATACATTAATAGTGTTGAGTCATTTTAATGAACAATGCTGCAGATAATACATTGTGTTTACTCTGTGACACATTTCACACTTGGACTCATGATTCTGTGCAGCAGAATTTCAGGGATGGCATGCAGAGTTAAATGTCATTAATCAAAATAAGAAAGAGGAATGATTATACATTTGAAAGTTTTTATTTAACACAAATCAAAACCAATGTGTCATTTTAACTGCAATAAAAACATTTAAGTAAAAGTTGTCTGCCTGAACAAAAGGGGCATTAGACACAACTAACAAAGGAACAGGCTTTGATTATTTCAACTCCAGTTTGTCATCAACTTTAGTTAAAATACTGTCTATTCAACCTTGTAATGGGTCAATATTGAACAATATTTTAACTTCCTGACACCATTTTTAAAACTTGGACCTGAGTGTTGAGACATATGGAGAAATCTCTTGTCTCCTAACATCCAATGAACTGAAACATTTTAATATGGCAGCAATAATTTCTTGCTCAACTTCAGAAGAAGTTGGTTTTCAAAGATTTTTTTGAGTCCAATCTGGCTTTTTTGGGAGAGAGAATCTGTCCTGTTGTACTGAGCAGTGTTTCAATAAGGCCATGGGTGGAGCATATCTTCTGGATGACTCTCTTGTGGTGGAATACATTTTGGGTGTAGTGGTGCTGCAGGTGCACCCAGCTCAGTGACATATATACTAGAATATATGTCATTGGCCCAGTTCTTCTTGAAGGTGGGCCTAACGTTACCTTTGCACTTTGCAGTGATTCAATGGACCAACTCCCCTCTCACCATTGGTTACTTTCAAAGTAACAAACAAATCAAAAGCCGCAACATGAATGTAACTTGTAATGCAACACATTATAGAAATGTAGTGTAGTAGAAAGTACAGATACTTGATGTAAAATGTAGTGGAGTAAAAGTATAAAGTACCCACATTTAACTCTACTTAAGTAAAGTACAGATACATGAAAAATGTACTTAAGTACAGTAATGAAGTACTTGTACTTAGTTACATCCCACCACTGGGAACAAGGCAGCTGAACACAAGGAATCTAAAAAAACAACACAAATCTAGAAAGTTTCTGAGATTGTGCTCTACAGCTAAATATTTGTTCTTAACTTCAATAAAATTCCCTCCTCACGAACACTGTGCTGCCATTTGTGCTAAACTGCATCATCATGGGGCAGTTATGGTTTTTGTCAAACAATTCATTGTGTGATCAGTTAAAAAAAAAGTCCACAAGCGGTGGTGTTGTGAAAGCTCTACGTGCTGCTGTTAGAATGTAATTACTGCACTTAGGCTCAGTGGAATATGTGAGCAGCTACATATGGGGTTTTAATGAATGACTGCATGTCAGCCTATGGGAGCTTTTCTAATCCTGTGTAATCCCAGCCTGATGAAACCAGACACAGTTGTGATATTGGCAACAGAGAAGGATTAGTGACCTGGCAAAACATGTGATCCCCGCACGAGCACATGCTTTACTCACATATACAGGTGGCACGAGGCGAGAACACACCAAACTGCTGCCTTCATTCATGAGCAAAGCACTAAACCTTAACTTTTACTAATTCTGCAGATTTTTTATAGCATTTTATTAGCACAACAAATATGTATAAAAGTCCCTAATCTACAAAATTTGGGAAATTGTGTAAAATGTAATTTAAAACAGAATGCAATCATTAGAACATTTCATAAACACATTTTATTCACATTGCAACAGAGTAAACATGTGAATTGCTGAAACTAAGAAATTGCACATTATAACCAAAATAATTGAGGTCTTTATAGCAGCAACATATCTCAAAATGTTAATAAAGGAGCTACAAAACATTGTAAAAGTAGGTGATACATATAAGAAATATGCTGTAGGAGCACCCAACAAAGTTCAGTCAGGTCCTCTGGATGGTTACTATATGTTGAAATGTTTCATTTTTCATGTAAAAGACTTCATCAGGATGTTTTACATGGATTACTGAGCATGAACTTTGATGTTTTGAACCACTTTGGCCATAGCTGCCTCAGACAAGTTGATGGGGGAGAGGGCAGACTCCAGAAACCATTTTATCATCATCAAACTGGTTGGTCCACTATGTGTGTGCTACTTATGGAACTGAATTTATTATTGTGGCTCCTCGGACTGATGAAGTATTTTGGATGAAAGATGAAACATTTCAACACAAAGAAATCGTCCAGAGAACCTGACTTAACTTTGTTGGATTTTTTAAACTTTGATTATTGAGCATGAACTTTGAAGATGTTGGAACAATTAGCAACACATATGATTAAATGGTAACAGGTTAGTGGACTGGGCATTGAAAGAAAACTGTAGAGGCTGAATCTCTCAGAAGTAAAGATGGGCAGAGGTTCACCACTATGCAATAAATACATTAATAAGTTAAATGAAATGTTTCAAAATGCATTAACAATTTAAGATAAATGTTCCTCAACAGATAATTAAGATGAATGAACATCAGAAGATTTCAAGGAGCTAGAGAAATCTGTGTGTGCAAAGACAAGGCTGATGCTTGTCCCCTCCATGGCCTCAGGAGGCACTAAATTAAAGAAAGATCTGATTTTTTTTTCTTGAAGAAGGATGTGTTGTTCTTCACGAGTGAAAACTTTTATAACCAGTTTGTTGTCCCCCCGGCAGAGCAGAAAAGGAAAATGGAAAATACCCTCCGTCGACTGCATCTGTTGCTAGGTCAGAATCCAAGATGGCTGCCACCATAAATGTCCATCCTTGTTGTGAGCTTGGTAAATTGAAAATTAGTGAGCTACCAGCTTTTATTTTGGTGTGTAGCTGCATCGAGGTGTAAGGAAGTCCCTAATCAAAAACCAGACCAGCCACATCAAAAGTCCATCCAGAAAAACTCTCATCTTGAAAACTATTAACATTCAATCTCCAAATTCCTCAGCAGCAGGGGACATCGGTGTATCGGTTTTTCAGAATTGGGGTTCTGGACCCCATGCCTCATGGGTGAGGGAACTGCTACAAAGTAAAAGCCTTTAATTGGCCTACTTGTTGTATGAGACCTGACTGCAGTGCATGTCAACATTTTCATCGTGAGAGCACAAACCGACTTGAGTCACTTGAGCTTTAAAGCAAACAACAAATAAACCCATCTTTTGGAAAAATGAATTAATCAAATCAAAAGAGGCAGCTGACAGAGTCGTTTAGAAAAGTGCAAGCACTTACTGGGATGCATTAAAAATAACTCTGTAATTTGCATTAAGACAGGGCGCACGGCTCGGACTCTTGCTCTCAGAACTCCTGCTTCCATGATGTGACGAGCGCTGCTCTGAGCTCTTCACAGATTGCTTCATCTGACACATTCCTCCTTGTTCCCTTGAGCCACTGCAGCACTTCATCTTTCTTCTCATGCCCCTCATATGATGAACGCCACTTATTCGGCAAACACTTGATTAAATTATAATTTTCTATATTATCAGATTCATGTATTTTTTCATATGTATGTGTATTTATGTTCAAACAGAATGGCACAGCTTTAGTTGAATAAAATGTAACATCAGATGGTCTGCATGCGGTACTTTGTAATTCCATGCCGTCTTTAAAAAACTTAAATTAATCTTTCCTTCATCCATTCACACAAACACTCAGACAAGAGTAACTTTATTTACAGCTTGCAGATCTGAAATAAGTGTAGTGTTATAACATTTGATTTCTGACAGGTAACGCTGCTTTGGATGATTTAATGTTCTGTAAAAGAGCATGAGGAACAGTGGGCCACCAGGATCAGAGTTGGGGTTGGGACCCCGGTCTCTCTTGCTCCTGTACTGTCATAGTGTCTCTGTGCTATCCTTCTGTCCACCCCTAAGAAGGACATGTTGACCTCCTAAATCAGCCGGTGGTTCATGCCGTGCAGGGTCTTATCAGTCCATTAAGGCTCCTCCTGTTCCTCCTCATCCACGTTGGGTTTCTGCTTCTGCCTGAGTCATTCACTTAGCAGATCACCATTTGGGGCTTTCTTCCTGATGCACTCCAGTGTTTTAATTGTTTAATCCAGTATCTCTGATGCTCATTAGCCCTCTTCCTTCCAGCATTTTCTTGATATGCACCTCAGGGTATTGGACTTGGGATGAAACCCTCCATGTATTGTGAGGAGCTTTTATGATTTGCTGTCAGTGGCTTCTGTCTCCTCCTTTGGCCAGGCTGTTAGCTGGGTATCTGACGATTAGCACAATACGTGTCGATGGCTTGGATGCTGTTCTTTCCATTTAGCTGCCATTTACCGGTGTACCAGGACAAGTACAAAGTGATTAATTTTGTTTCTAATAACTTTTTCAACAAAATAAAAGCCTCAAACTACTTAAACAAGCAGTATGCCGATGTCCCCCATTGTTGAGGGGTTTGAATAGTGAATGTTTGTAGTTTTTGAGATGAGTGTTTTTCTGGACTGGAATGTGACATGGCAACCTTATTTTTGATATGGACCTTTCTATTATCTAAATGCAGCTACATACCAAAGGGAAGTTGGTGTGTTGCTTATGTTTCAAGGTGTAATGCTCACAACATGCACGGACAGAAGGACAGGGGGTATTTGTAATTCTTCCTCTTCGCTCCACGATGGGGGACACAAACCGGTTGTAGCAACCATATTACAATTTACCCACATAACAAAATAATATATAGGATTGCTTCACTTGGTTATTTTTTCAAGAATGTTTTAATGTTTGTCACAATGTTTTTTTGTCACAATATTTTTCTTTTAAAAAAAATTGAGCTAGACGAACAAATACGTCAGAGCAATTAATTTTTATATTTTTGCCATAAAAAAATTTCAACATTTTGTTAATGTAGTTAAGGTCATGTTTAAGTTAAAGTACATCTCAATACTGATACAGTATGAATACTGTCATGTGGTATGTTGTTACTGTCTTTATATATGGTCGTTATTATCATCAAGCTGCTAACAGGACCTGCTAATACTAATAACAGAACCACACTGCCCGTAAGACCATGCTGCTGTAGATATATTTCTTTTTCACTTTTGGCGTCTAGTTTTTGTACTTTGTACTCTTGTTGCATGCTTTGGTATTTCTTGTTGTTGTTTATTTGGCGAGTCAAGACGGTTCTTCTCGTCCTGAGCATTTCATTGCATTGTTGACCTTGCATCGATTTGCATATGACAAATAAACCAAACCTGAAACCTACTGACCAGAATACCTTGGAAAGTAAAATAATTTGATGACGATTCCAACAGCAGTTGGTGTTCACAACTTCATGTCCATGCTGCAAATCCAGCACTGGTCCATGGTTGTGTTAGTCTGCTAAGTAGCTTGCTTTTGTGTAATGCAGCCTAGTGATGCAGAAATTGTTTTTCTCCTGGTCGTATAAACCAGAGCGATCTAAATACCTTGAATGTCCTTGTCAATATTCCAGGCTCAGGAGTCCTGTGACGCTGCTCTGATAAACCTTTGTCAAATTGCTCATGGATTTTAAATCCAGCTTCAGACCTGTTTAATACAGCAACAGGACGGGCGATGTTGACTCTGTGGGACAGGGCTTAGCAGCTGTTCCCTCCCTCTGGAGGTGGGTGAGCGCAGGCTGATGGGTGGAACAGGGTGGGCGGGAATGACTGGAAAATGAGAGGATTCTCTTAGCTTAGGACAGAGGGACACAGCATTACGGTGGCAGGGATTCTGAGCTCAGAAGTGCTTAAAAACACAACAGAGGATTGAATATTTCATACAGCGTCTCCTCCAGGACCGGAGCATCCTTTAAATGTTTCTTGGCTTTTCTTTTACTTTAATCACCCCACCTGGAGTTTAAAGGATTGCATCATCTACATATATGGGTTGCTGAGAAGATACTGGGACAGGAAACTCATGATGGCTGTGGCTTTGGATGACGTGTGGCTGAGAGTGAAGAACGTCTGCAAACAGAACGGCCTCCTCATCCTCTCTGTACTGGCTGTGGTCGTTGGCTGTCTGTTGGGATTCTTTCTGAGGACACGGCGTCTTTCAGAGCAGGTCAGTCCGTCTCACCCCCCCCCCCCCCCCCCCAAAAAAAAAAACAACAACTGTGGCGTCACAAAAACCAACGACGCACAAGGCCTCTCAAGCCTTTACATCATCATATTAATGGGTTTGAACCAGTTTCCTTTTGCACTTCTATTATTATTTTGAATTTGGAGGATTCAGGTCATCTCATAATCTTTTATCTTCTCAGCTAGAATATTGTTTTTTTTTTTTGTACTAACATATATATAACCCAGTAATGTGGCTATGGGTGCCAGAATGCCTTGACTTGCTGTATATTCTGGTTTAAAAACAACCTAAATGAGCTTCATATAAATCATGTTTTATAAAGCTCAAAACAGTTGGCATACAATCAAAACACTCTATCCAGATAACCCTGTTTCCCAGATTATTTAAAATTATTTTGAACTGACTCCCACTGGATGACATTTGCTTTATTTTTCTCTGACTCACTCTTTTTATAGACCGATCCATTTAGATTGAATGATATGGATGTATACAGTCACATAATGCATGTGCAAGGATTTTATTAGAGATGATTATAATACCATAGTTGAAAAGAACTATACGTAGTAACTATAGTCTGAGCTAGCTCAAACAGTGTTCAGGTCTTTGACCTTGTTTCTGAATGTTTTGTTCCAGTTGTTTCTTTCTCATCAGCAGTGGTGGTTCATAAATGATGCCTTCCCTCTGCGTCCCCTCCCCCTAACACACACACACTCACACACACACACACACACACACACACACACTCACACACACCTCTCCCCCAGTGGTGTCAGTTTCACTGTAACCCTCCTTGCATGATGAATACTTTTGTCATTTGTCCAAGGGAAAATGTTTGTAATGTCTGAAATATTGATTGTGGATAGAAAGAAACATATAAATGCTTATTGGACTTTGAAAATTGAGGAAAACCCATTTTCTTGATTTTTAATTTACTACAAAAAAACTGTCAAGCTGAACATCCCAGGGATTAGACAGGTCCGGGAGGCAGAATCTGTCTGACCTCAGATTGTCAGCGATTTGAACAAAGTTCATAAATACACAATAACTTCACCAGTCTGGTCACAACTAGGGGGTCGTATCTCTAATAGGACACCTAAGATTAAACTGTGAACAGATTTGTAGTAACCAGGACAATCTGTTCCATCTAAAGAGGACACCTCTGGCAGTCTATCAACATCTGTCAGTAAATCTTAGTTTCTTCTTTCTATCTTTAGTCCCACAATTAAACGTCAATATTTGTATTTTGTTATATATTTTTTAAAAATTGTACAGTTGGAATTGTGGATATCTTATACAATAAACAATTGTGGATATTTATTAGCCTGTTGATGTGGTTGTAGGCATTTTTTATTTTGATTCTGATTGTTAACATTTTATCTGGTTTTGTTGATTTAGTTTATAGGATAGTCTGAGATTTATGAAGACATATTTTCTCAGGATGATCCGTTTTGTTACCATATAATAAAGCGCAGAGGGTATTTTATGATAAAAGTACAGAATGATGCATTCAAGACAAACTCGTGGTGCTCCGTGTGTAAAAAAAAAAAAGATAATGCAAGTTTCAAGTATGACCTCAGCTCATGATATACTGATATTGTTATTTTAGTAATTCAATTCCATTCAGTTTATTTATATAGTGCCAAGTCACAAAAGAAGTCATCTCAGGGCACTGAACAGAAAAATTAAAATATAAAAATAATAATAACACTATTCATCTGAGGAGCAGACTGCTTTGAATTGAACTCCATCCATTATTAATCCAAATAATTTAGACAAATGCTTTTCAAATGGCTGGAAAATGCCTAGGTTTGAGTAGATTTTTATTTATTTTTTATTTCTGGGGAGGCATGCCTCCGGACTCCCCCAGGACTGCTTCACTCCACAGCTGCTCATTAAAACACATAGGTGTCCTTCTGAGACTTCAGCAAATGTTGACTGATATTAGGGAGACCTTTCTGGGTGGCGTATGCATGTTCTCTCCGTGCATGTGTGGCTTTTCTCCATGTACTTCGGTTACAGACCAAAAACATGCATGTTCAGTTAACTGGAAGCTCTAATTTGTTGGTGAGGGAGGGTGTGAAAAGTTATCTGTCTCTAGGGTGGACTGGCAAAAAGTCCAGGGTGTCCAAAATATGTTGGTTAGTGTCAATCACTTTTTTTTTCATTTTTAGTGTAACATTTTGTTTATGATTCCCCAGAAAAACAACCATACCGAATTCATCGTGCATTGAGTTGCAGAAACATTGTTGCTTAATATGAATAATGTGAATAATTACAGCAAAATACCTATAAAGGGAATTTTAAAAGATTGAGAAGTGTCCTTCAAAGCTGCACAGACACCAAACAAGGATGATTTATTTGGATTTGGTATAGGAACATAACTATAGTGAATTTTAAACAATATTTTACTAACTTTGTAGACTGGACATTGAAAACTCAATTCAGTTTATATCTATAGCTCCAAGTCAGAACAGATATTGTTTCAGGGAACTGTACAAAAACATTTGCATACACTATAAAAGACAGTCAGTAAAGTTATCTATCTAAGGAAGCCAGTAGATTGTGTTGAATCGTCACTTAGTTGTCGTCTCCCATCCTGAGCAAGCAAAATACAAATTATCCGTAAACATTTTAAATTTATTTTGATAAAAGTTCACACTTAAACATATCCATCATCAGCCAATTCCATGCTTTGCAGAATTTTTCAGCAATTAATCAAATATTTAAAAAAAAAGTGCATAAAAAGAAAAACTCTAAGTAAAACATAATTCCGTTTCTTCTTCAGGGGTCACCACAGTGAGCAAACTCACATGAAAGATTTGGCAAGTTTTGTTTTACGCTAAATGCCCTTTCTGATGCAACCTGGGCTCGAACCCACAACCTCAGGATTACAAGACCGCGGCACTGATCACAAATACAGTTTCAAGGTTTGGCCCCTTATATTGCACTGCTCCTAATGCAGCCATGCAGCATCTCCATGAACAGAAGCAGGCCTTTCTTACCTGCCATCCCTGTTACTAAAGCCCTGTCCTGTTCACATAAACACCTAAAAATAGTCTGTGGCTCCTTTACTCACACAATAGGAGGATTACAATCCAATCAAGCAAATGTTCTCTGAGAACTACATCAAATAAAAGTGCCTGTCAGTGTGGTTTATCACAAAGTAAGCAGAAGGAAGGCTTTTGTGTTTTCAGACAACTTATAGACTGACCCTTCTGTTTTTGACAGACACAAGCAATTTGACACGCATACAGTAAGTGTGTGTGTTTCTGATTAGCTTAGGCAACAACCTGTATCTGTAGCCTTGCATGAAGAGCTCATTTCTCACATGGACGGATGAAAACAGACTGATAATGCTCCATGTCTACAAAATCAAAGATCTGAACCTCCCAGAACTCCCAGCTAAAGTGGTTGACTCAAGTCTGGACATTACTGATCAGAAAAGAACCCCAGAAGGAGGCCAGTCCATCCAGCTACAGTCCAGTCACCAGCCTCTGCACAGCATGGAAGCTCTGTGCAGTTCAAAGTGATTATCAACAGATCTGATGACCTGATGAGAATGTCAAAGACAACTCTAAAGCCCAATTTAGAGCCAAGTGCACAAGACAGCATCAAGTGCAAACAAATACCAAGATGATGCTCTGTCTCCCCTCCTGCTCACCATGGTGCTGAACCCCTCAGCTACCCCTCAGTTTATCACTGCAAAGAGTGGTTCCAAAGTGGGACAGTAATGTCATCTATGGTACACGGATGACATCAAGCTGTATGCCAAAAACGAGTGAGACATTGACTCCCTGATCCACCTCACCAGGACATACAGCAAGAACATTTGAATGTTATTCTGACTGAATACATGTGGTTGAATGGTATACAAGAGAGGCAAGGTGATCACAACTGACCACATCGTAGCAGGCAGACCAGTGGTGTAGTGATATGAGGGTATACGGAGTATACCCATGAGAAAGCTTGGGAATTTCAGTATACCCACTTAAAAGTGCTCGATGATATGTGACATATCAATGGGCATGTGTCATTGTCAACACATTTGGAACGTTGAGTTGGTTCAACCTGTTTTTTGTATAATTAATACTTCTGTATACTTACTAATTAATACTTGAACATGTTTTGCATTGATACTGTTTTATAAATTATATAACATATTTTAATACAAAGCCAACTGTTGTGCAAAGTTTGTTGTACATTTATCCAAATATAAGCATCAGAGAAATTTTGAAACGTTCGATATTCTTAAAAATCTAAATAAATTGACGATTACATTGTACTAACCAGTGTACTTGGGTTTCTAAACACAGTTTACCCACTACAAAAATGTAGACTATACCACTGGGCAGGACCAAAGATGCAGTCTGGGCAGAGAGGCCCTGAGATAGTCCAGGACATAACAGCAAGATGTAAGATCCAGGTAGGCAAAGCATACATGGTTTGTGCGACAGGTTCTGTACAGTCTGGAGACAAAACAGGTTGTGAGAGAAGGAAGTTCAGTCCATGGTTTTATTGTCCTTGGTGTGACAGGTTAATGGGATGAAGGTGTGCTACCAGTTAATGCTAACTAGCTTCTTACTATCCTCACTGCAGATTTTTCTTTGATGAAGTGTTCAGACTCATTTATCACTCACAAGTGCAGCCAGACTCCCTTATTTCATTTTTCCCTTTTTCTTTTTTTTTTTTTTACCTGCAACTGAAGAAATCCCTCAAACAGAACAATTAGCCTCTAGTTTATGTTGTTCGTTCTTTTGATTGTAGTCATCTGACATTTTCAGTTGTTGGTTGTTTTTCTTACATCACTTACCACAACCGCCCTCAGTCATCTTGGCCTTCAGCTATGCTTATATCTCACTTTGCTGTAAGTGTTGGTGATAAGGGTGTGACTCAAAATTGAAGAAGAGTTGCCAAATTTTTTTTTGAAATTTGTGAAAATGAGTCAGTATCTGATTTGAGAGATATGTTGTTGCACAGTTGTT